CCCAACAGCCTCAGCTTTCTAAAGAGCACCCCATGGTCAACTTTGTCAAAAGCTTTAGCAAAGTCTAGGTATACCACGTCCATGCCAGCTCCCTCCTCCAGCTGGGCCACCAGACGGTGATGGTGCTCCTCCAGTAACTGCGACACAAACAGGAACGATTACGCCGGAAGCCATGTTGTCCGTTATTGCACAGGTCAGCCTCTTCCATATACCAGATAAGCCTCCTGACCACTACCTTCTCAAAAGGTATATATATTGTGTTCTCTTGTCAGCGACCGTACCTGCTGACTGAGCAAGTGTTCCGCAGCAAACTTCACAAGTTGAGCTTCTTGACTTGTGTCGCGGTCATCGACCTCTAAGCCACCAGGGCTTGTCCAACAGATTTGTGGGAGATTGAAGTCCCCACCAATTATCAGGCTGGGGGCTGGGTCACCCAGTTCAGCCACCCTGGTCTCTATTTCCTTGAGGGTTTTTTTGAAATTTTCCGGCAGACAAGCAGGCGGTCTATAGACTATGGCTACGCACAGGTCATATTTTTTATGTGAAGTAGCACGTATTCAACAAAGCCGTCAGAGTTTCCAGATTTCGATCTCAATTCTACAGTGCTTCTTGTGAGGGAGTTCCTAAGGTAGACAATTACTCCACCCTTCTTTCTCCCTTCTTTCCGGTCCGCGCGGTAGTGTTGGAATCCTTCCATTGTAATTTCTGCATCGAGGATATCTTTTCTTAGATGCGACTCCGTTAGTGCAATCATAAAGATCCCACCCTCGTCGGCCATCTCACACAGCACGCCAATCTTGTGACGCGCTCTCAGTGGGAAGAGCCCCTCGATGTTGGCCAGCAGAATGCCAGACTCTTCCCTTATTGGTGCGCTTACCTGCGTCTCCACCACTCTGCCTGGCGCCCCTGGCCCAGCAGCTCCTGCATCTGGTGTTGAATCATTTCCAGCTGATGCCTCATTTCTAAAAAAGCGCCGTAGCTAATCTCTGGCCCCCCGCGTGCGTCCCTGTCCCATACGCTTGGGCCACTCCCTGGAGTAGCTAGGTCATCCCTCCTTCTCCAAGAACTACCCTCCTCACCGCTCCTTCTACCAGTGTTTTCCGCAACCCTATCACTGCCCTGTCTTCCCTGTGATGGTGGGGACTGTGAGGGTGAGGGAGTGGGCTGGCAGTACCACACCTACCATTGTGTGGTACCACACCTACCATTGTGTGGTACCACACCTACCATTGTGTGGTACCACACCTACCATATTATTGGTATATTCAAGCGAGCAGCGGCAGGCGCGTCGTCTTTGTCCCGCCGTCGGTTTCCTGTTTTGGAAAAAAAGCAAAAATTTTTCCTCTTCGCTGCAGGAGCAAAACGGAGGGAGGGACTCCACCCCCCTCCCCCCTCCATCTCTCCCCCTTTCCCCTTCTCCTTCCTCTCCACCTGCGCCAACGTCTCGTCCGCCAACACATCCTCTCACATGCTTCACGTAATTCTCCTTCGTGATCCACGTATTGCACCTCCCGCACTGTCTCCCACTCCACTCGCTCCACCCGTACACGTCCTCTCATGATTCACTCTTGCACCCTACATCTCAACACTCATGCCACATATGCTACATTCAAACCTGACTCGCTCCTCAGCTACTCTGTGCATGCGCTTCTGGTGGTTGGTCAGGCCCACCTTACTTAGGCAGTCATTCGCCTTACACACCCAGTCATTCATTCTTCTAACATTCCTGATGGCCGTCCACCACTGAACATTGTGTTGAAGCATCAATTCATACCCTGGCCACTGCTCGAACTGGAACTTGCGTGCAACAGCCTGTGACCACTCGGCTTTGTCCTCCTCCAGCCTTGCGTAGAACCTGCCGTGCACCACCAAAAGGTCACTTTTAGCTCACAACATCCAGGGATAGGTTTCAGAAAGCATAGTTCTGTTCCAAAATCTATCATTTGCTGAGGAGTGACTTCCGCAGCTTTGCTAAATTACGTAACTTTTAGCTCACAGCATTTGGGGCTAGATTTCAGATAGCATAATTCTGTTCCAAAATTTATTGTCCTACTACGCATATGAACTGGTGCCATGTGTGGTTGTCGATGCCTTTGCTGTCAGTCCCAAACTTGCATTGTCTTCACAGAGCAGAACTGACTAACATTGGAGCCAGAGATGTGTAAAAATTAATTTTTTAAAATGTAAATTTATTTGTAAACTGAGTTATATTTTTACTGTTTACCATCAGTGTTCATAAAATTATGAAGCAATGCATATACTTACATTGCGTTCAGAAATTGTATGTTGACCCTAGAAAAAACATGTTCTTGTTGATTGCCACTAGGTATGTCGAACGGCAACTCCAAAAAAATTCCATATGCTATTAGTAAGGTGCCAGACACAAAATAAGAAGGTCCCTAATTACCCCTGAGAAAGGGGTAATAAGGGACACTTAAAATAAAACTTAATTTTAAAAGGTTTGAAGTATGCAGAGTGTATTCATCTATTACTAACAGTACTCTGAATTCTTCGCCCTTTGTAGATGATGTAATTGTAGAATAAATGACATTTTCTGGGATTTTTACTTGTTTTTCTTTATCAATATATTACCATATCCATACATTACTGACTGTATGGTACCATAAAATGGGGTAACTTTGACCACTTTTTTTCAAAATGTCATTTTTTTTACTAGATAAGTTTAACTTAAAGTGAAACATGCAAAATACAGGTCTATACTCTACCTTCAATCACCATAAATTGCTGGCTCCTGCCTCTCATAGTTTTGATGTAATTTCAAAAAAAGTGATGGTCTTTGTTATCCCAGCTCTTGGGGTTTCTTTGACTGGGTAGTAAAATCAATTTTATTTTTTGGTAAAATAACTCCAAATAACTCCAGGTTTTGGTGCATTGTAGTAGAACTCTTCTAGTTACATATGCAAATGACAAATTTTAGGAAAGTGTCATAGTTTGCAAATTAGGGGTGCTGCCCCCCTCCCCCAATGGGCGAAATGTGACCACCTAATGGCAGCTGTGACGGGGTAACATTGACCGGCTTGGAAATTAAGTTAAAATTACCATATATAAGACTCTGTAGAGTCTGAAACATAAAGAAAAAACATTAATAGGTGTATCAAACATAAAATATGTTATATAGGTACCTATGGTAATTTAAACTTAATTTCCAAGCCGGTCAATGTTACCCCGTCATGGCTGCCATTAGGTGGTCAAAGTTCCCCCATTGGGGGGCAGCACCCCCCATTTGCAAACTATGACACTTTCCTAAAATTTGTCATTTGCATATGTAACTAGAAGAGTTCTACTACAATGCATTGAAACCTGGAGTTATTTTACCAAAAAAAATTAAAAATTGGAGGGGTTACTGCGACAGGCTTTAAATAATAGCTCTTTTTCGTGGGTCACATTTTTAATTTTTTAACTTATTAGATATGCAAACTTTTTAAATCTTTCTATTGTGTTACGTAGCCTCAGTATTAGGCCTTTAATGGCCATTGACAAAATTTTTCTATTTCAAATAGTTTTTGAGTTTAGGGTTTTTTGTTAAAAAAATGAAAAGTGGTCAAAGTTAACCCGGGAGTCAAAGTAACCCCATTTTACAGTACTATTGATATTTTATTACCGTATCCATTTACATGCCATTGAGCATTGACAACAACCTTGTCAACTGCAAGTTTCATATCAGCAGCCAAATAGCATTCTTCTGGATCTGTAAGCTTCCAGGACATCATGTAATTTTGCACTGTTCTAATTGGATCAAGTGAATTCACTATAAAAAAAGATTGTAAAAAACATGCCTGAAACAGAAAGCAATATTTTAGTGACAACCATCATATTTTTGGAGAAATAAATTAGAGTTTAGGTTAATTACTTCTCTTCTATGTTGCCTGGTGCACAAGTTTATATATGACATTCTATGCAAAATTTTGTGATGACCGATTATGCATTAATTTTTCATTAAGTCAAAGTTTTTTGCCCAGCACTTGAAATTTTTTGTTGTTAATTGATTTTTTTGTTGACTGGAACCTTTGCTGATAGAGGTTCTACTGTAAATATGTTTTTATGGGTGTCCTTATTGCCCCGTCTTTTGGAAATCGCCACCATTTTTGGGGGGATGATAGGCAAATTTCATCAATTACGTTTTTAAGTCTACGCCTTTGTGCAACTTTTATGTAAGTAAGATTATACAGCAAATATATATATATATTTTTTTTTGCTACAGACCTTAGCAGAGGTACTCTTCCAAAATCTCGCTTCTAACACTTGTTTTTTTTATCAGGGAGTTTTTAGTGGCTAAATGTATGATTTTTTAACTTGCTTTATGCTGCATAGATAGTAAAAATGTTGAAATTTATGCCACTATTTTTAGTTTTGCCATATTTTGATTAGCTCAGCTGCTACAACATTTTTACAAAATGTGGGACAACTGTCCTGATTTACCCTGCCTGTTCAATTATTAGCCCATTTGATGGTATCTATGAAGCAATTTTAATTTAACTAGAATTTCATTCTTTTGGTAAATCTGCATTATTAGACAGAATTTTCTATGAATAGCAAGTAAAAATTATTATTTCAGTTTTTTCTGAAAATCAGCGACAAAATTCAACCATTTTTCTTCATTTTTTACAAAAGAAATCAAGCAAAGGCCCCAGAAATAGGTAAAACTGTCTGCTATCATTGTCATTTTTGTTGCATTAATGGGTGGCTTTGGCACAATTTTTCAGTTGGGGTTGAAGTTTCTTTATAAAATAAGTCATAGAATAAATCTAACAGTATATAGGTATATAAGAGCTGTAAAATCATGAGTGGCATTGAGTTTATACAAACAATTTCCCACCTAATTAGAATTACACTGTATATTTTGAATGATATTTGATAAAACTAAGAAATCACTTCAACCAAAGTTTATAAGCGTCATAAATTACATGGAGTACATCTTGAAATGCAAAGGGCATTAATTTTTTAATTTCTTTTATTTAGCTATAATTTGTACAAGATTTTCATTATTCATTGCAGATTTTTTTTCTTAATTATTTAAAGTGTCCCTAGCTTTTTAGTGGATATTCCGGCTACTTGTACTGTGGTGGCTCTAGATGGCATGTTTAGAAGTAAAAGGCAAGTGGTGTTATGTTTGTCGCTGCATATCATCATTCGAGAAAGCTAGGGCTTTTTAATTTTTATTTATTTCAAGTAATATCTTCATAATCAAGTAGTTTTCACCTTCAGCATCCAAAAATGGCTTCTGCTAAAGGACCAGGCCTTTATGAGTTCCTCACTGAGGCAGAACTGCAAGATTACTTCAATGTCATGAAAACTGAGCTCAAGGTATCCATCCAATCCATGTAATAATGAGATATTATTTTTTGTGAATCACCTTGTGCATTGTTTTCCTATAAATTAATGATGATCTTGCAATCATATATTTTTATGCACTTGCATTTCTAGTCACTTTCAATTTAATTGGTACAAATGCTGAATTTTTTTTTAAATTCCTCACTCGTAATACCTAATTCAAGCTTTTCATGCCCCACCTGCTGACTAAACTATTGTTAGTTCAAGTTTATGAAATACTACTAGCAGTTTACTATCTCTGTTCCTGTAAATATAGAATTTTTAAGGTTAACATATTATACAGAACATGAATATTTTTCAACTCCATTTTGACTCTCATTGATATTTTGAGAAGCATCAATACCTGGATTATTGGCTAAATGGCTTGTAAATTATAAATGGGTCAAGCAAATTTAATTTTGTATCTCATTAACAGGTTCAAAATGTTGGTCAGCTGAAATTTGTGACAGATGAAGATCTACTGGCACTGGGAATGACCCGACCAGAAATTAGACGTCTTAAGAAATTCTTCCAGAAGTATCATCCTCAGACTTACTTGTCCAAGTTTAAAAAGGTGTGTTTACTTGATCAATTGATATTACTGTTTGAACTTTTTCTGTTTATTTTCTTCTATCTTCTTCTGAGAGTATGAATGTAACTATTAAATGACTAGCTGTGCCCCAGAACACTAACATTACAAGAAAACTCTTTGACAAGAGTAATGAAGGCTGAGTAAACATGACCATGCATGATAATTTGCTCTGTATCCATGTCATAATGAGATCAATTTCTCTAGTCTCTTCAAGGAAGGTCAAACTCTTCACTCTTTCTTGTTCCTACTGGAAATTAATTCTTTTTTGGTTATTTATCATAGTAGTACAGCTGCATTTTATAATAAGTAATTGATATAAAATAAGAATGAGTAAGGTTTTAGTAGAAATTATATTGTAAAAAATATAAAATGTTACATTTAATATAACCAGTAGATCAATGGAAATCATCACACCAATGGTAGGTTGTGCAGAATTGAGAGGAGGTAGCCAATACTTAAGCATTTTCAATGCTGTAAACAAATTTATACTATTGATGGACCAATTTGGAAATTATTAGTGAACTTTTTATAGATCCATTTAGAAGTTCTGATAGCATTTCAAGTTATTCATAATATATGCAATATATTCATAATATAAAGATATAATATATGCAATATATTGTGTATTATTTATTATGCCTATATCATGATCACAAAATTATGCTAAGTTCTATAGTTATTTGGTAGATGTTTAAAGACATTCATTGACTCACATTGGAAATTTCTGTTACTTACCAGTGCAATCAAATCAAGGAAATGGCATCTGCTGATTGACAATTTTATCATTTATTTCACTGTGGAAGTAATTCAGAGCAACATAGAAATTTCTTTTATCATTTATTATAAACTAATAATTGTCATAATAAAGAAAATATTTATCATAATGAAAAAATAATTATCATTACCATGCAGTAATGATAATTATCAAAAATACATTTATATTTTTATTTTCTGGATCAAGTGATCTTGTCCAAAACCCCAAAATTACAGTTCAAAAAACTGAACCTATGGTATACCTTCACACATGAATTCTAAAAAAATGTAGTTGTGAATTTTATGTTTTTTCTGCCAAACGTGATACTTCTTCAACTAATGTTTGCTCCCATTACTTTCATTGGATCATCCTACTCCCAGTGTGCACTGAAATAGCTTATATTGAGTTTACCAATACTTGTTCCTCTTAGTACTCAATCATACTAACAGACATGTGCTTGCTGTCAGACAACTGCCCTGGTCATTAATGTTGCTCTTTTACTAAACATTTGTTATTTATGGTGTCCCAGAAGCTGTTGTCCCGCCGCGAGAGCGATGGTCTCTTGCACGGCACTGAAGACGCCGAGAGTTTGAGCGACGCCGGCGAGTTGCGCAGCAGAACAGACGTGGACCGCTGCAGCGTGCGCGTTACCAACCGCCACATCATCTCGGCTGAGGCCATCGTTATCAATAAGGAACTCGGCGTCGGCGAGTTTGGTGTTGTGCAGCAAGGAGTTTGGACCAATGAAAACGGAGACAGGGTGCGTGACTTTACTCTTTTGCTTGAATCACTGAAAATTTCTGCTTTTAGAACAGTTCCAAAAGATTTTTCAGAGATACCGTAATGCATACCGATTATCGAGCGATGTGTGTTACCATTTTTTCATTATTTTGATGTTTCTAAGTGACATAACTATAAAGCTCTTGTGTTAATTTTCAACGGAATTAAGTTTCTATAATGTTTTCACATACCAACAAATTTTGTTGTGCTAACATCAATTCCAAATTTATTAAGAATTTAGAAAGAAAGAAAACAGCGCGCAAAAATCACTATTTCTAATGAGAGAAAATGTTTTGGAGTCTAGCTCCATTGTCAATTCAAAGACCCAGTACACAAGTACAAACAATTAGCAAACTAAAATTGTCATTGAGGATATTGAAACATAAATTGTCAAATGAAAAAAAAATAAAAATGGAGCAAACATGAGCAGAAAAACCTATCTATCTACTATTTCGAGGGGATAGAAACTGCAGGCCGGATTTATACTAGGCTTCTATTTAAAAATGCTTAGGGATTCTAAAATTTACAGACCTAGCTGGAATGCCGCCAACAGTTCCTACACTCTAGGGTTTTACTACTCATGTTTTCTTCATTTTCATTTGTTTCCATTGGACGATTTATGTTTTAATATCCTCAGTGTAAATTTTAGTTTGATAATTGTTTGTACTTGCCTTCTAGGTTTTTGAACTAGTAAAGGAGCTGGACTATCTAATTAAAAGGGGTGAATTTTTTTGCTCTTTCCCTGTTTATGAATTCTTGATAACATAAACAAGTCTCAATGGACAAGTCCTATCACTAGTAGTTATTCGTGATTCTTAGTAACCAACACTACCGGAGTGCTCTATATTCATAGAATATTTTCAATTATTTGTTATCACACAATGATTGATGTAAGACAATTTGGTGATGCACTGCTCTCTGCAGATCCAAGTGGCCATCAAATGCCTGTCGACAGAGCGGCTGCAGTCGCAGCCTCTGGAGTTCCTGAAGGAGGCGGCCATCATGCACTCCATCAACTCCGAGCACATCGTCAGGCTCTACGGCGTCGTGCTGGACTCGGCCGCCCTCATGCTGGTAGGCGTCATGCTGGACTCGGCCGCCCTCATGCTGGTAGGCGTCATGCTGGACTCGGCCGCCCTCATGCTGGTAGGCGTCGTGCTGAACTCGGCCGCCCTCGTGCTGTTGTGTGCTCATTACATATGTAAAGGCCATTTTAATGTGAATGAATCGTCTTGGATTTGTTAGTGCTGAAGTGACTTGTTCTGTCAATGGTTGTCAGGTGACTGAGTTGGCTCCCCTGCGGTCGCTACTGGAGTGTCTGAAGGAGCCGTCGCTGCGGTCCAGCTTTCCTGTGCTGTCGTTGTGCAGCTTCAGCGTGCAGATCTGCGACGGCATGGCTTACCTCGAGAAGAACAGGCTTATCCACAGGTACAATTTCTCATTTTACTGACTCGTAACATAGTTCCTGGTAATGCTATAACGATTTTATTGAAAGTTTTTATTTAATCAATGAAAAGATAGAGCTGTGTGCGTCGGTTGATTTTGGGGCAGCAGAAACTCATAAAGTTTTTTTCTATTGAATGAACTATTTTTTTTACTCCTACTTGATAATCAAAGCATGCGTTTCTTAACAATTGATCTTTTAGATGATTTCAAGGTTTGCGCTGATGGAGTAGAGCTTGTCTTCATTCAGTTTAAAATTGTCTGTACAGTTTCATGAGCTGTTACAATAAATGAACAATTGGACCTGAAAATATGGTCTTCATAACTGTATGATGATTCTTTTCTGATTATACTTCTAGATTAAAATCATTCAAATGTAGTATTTTCGGCCATTACTTCACCATCAGTTTAGTTATTGTTCACCTTATCTCCAAGTTTAATAAAACTGATAACTTTTTTTATTCATTCTAATTATTGACGTCGATATTTCTTGAAAAGTTTGCCACATTTTCTTCCACAAAAAAATATGGCTAAAGTCGCAGTTTTGCTGCTCGAACTTTAAAATGGGCTTTAAAAATGCCACTATTCCATTCAACCTCAGGTCAAATCGATACGAGTATGTGAGCCATTGAACTTAATTTTTTTATTTCCTCTCATGAGTTTTTCGACATATATTCACATAAACATATGAGCATTTATGTAACTTAATTGAGTTGTGTTCAGGAAAGCTAAACTACCAGCAACATTGCATTCTAAATGATTATTGATTCCAAGATTATTCAACGAAAATTTCGTAGTGACAGTCCTTTGTTGTTGTTTTTCCGTCTATGTAATGTTAGAACGACACCTTCATCCTGATTAATTTACGTTTGATGATCATCATGCAGGATACATTTTTTGTCGGCCTATGAATAGGTCTATCTGCTTTTAGCATTGCTTGTTATTTGTGAACTGTGATTCTAAATGTTTTTTTTTCTTGCAGGGATCTTGCTGCTCGGAATATCCTTGTGTTCAGCAAGAATAAAGTCAAGATTTCAGACTTTGGCTTGTCGCGAGCGCTGCGCGTGGGTAAAGACTACTACCAGACCAACTTCAATGTCAACCTCAAGCTTCCTATTGCCTGGTCAGCACCTGCTGCTCTCATAATCAAATCATCATGTGCCCAGTTTCTTTTAATTAACATGTCAATCAATAGCTACTTATTTTTAGTCTGTCTTGTCTGCTACTCTCTTACCAAAATCATGATACCTGTGTTTATTCACTTCAACAGCATTCTCTATCTACTTATTTGTTGTTAGTGTCTGCTACTGTAATACATAAAAAATAGCTAGTTTTAAGGCGCACTGTTCCTCTGCTCGAACTGTTTGTGTGCCCCGTGTGCAGGTGCGCCCCTGAATGCATCAACTACCTGCGCTTCACGTCAGCATCAGATGTGTGGGCGTTTGGCGTGACGCTCTGGGAGATGTTCAGCTACGGCTTCCAGCCCTGGCCCGCACTCACCGGCCACCAGATCCTTGAAGCCATCGATGAGCCCAACTACGAGGTGAGCAACTGCGAGGTGAGAAACTACGAGGTGAGCAACTGCGAGGTGAGCAACTACGAGGTGAGCAACTACGAGGTGAGCAACTACGAGGTGAGCAACTGCGAGGTGAGCAACTGCGAGGTGAGCAACTACCAGGTGAGCGACTACCAGGTGAGCGACTAGGAGGTGAGCAACTACGAGGTGAGCAACTGCCAGGTGAGCGACTACGAGCTGAGCAACTACGAGCTCGTGCCGCATCAACTTGATATAAAATTCATATCTGAGGGGCTCAATGATGTGATTTCAAATATTTTTTTCCTTGTTGTTACCGGTATGCATTCATCATTGCCTCTTGCTTGTATGTTCTACGTTTGCTCTGCACTGTAGGAGGATCGATGTTGGCTGCATACTTCGTTCACTAGTAGTACAGATGTTGCACGAATCAATTCTGAATAAATAATATTATCTAATGTTATGCATATCGCCTGGTGCGCATGGCATAAAAATTTCCTATTTTATCTGCTATATGAAAGAATTATGTCAACAAGTAACTGGTGATAACTAGAACAAGCTCATGGTCTGGGATGTATCCCAGGACGACGTAATTTTAATTACAGTAATATAGATTTTGATTTACAGAAGTAGCTTATACCCGATCGAAAAGAGTCGAATTCGAATTGTTGATGTACTGCATTGATCACAGCGCCTGGACCAGCCTGACGCCTGCCCTCGGGACTACTACTCCGTGATGCTGCAGTGCTGGCAGCACGACCCTGAGTGTCGGCCTAAGTTCCATCATCTGCTCACCTCCCTGCCTGACGTGAGTAGTTCATGGTCACCTCCCTGCCTGACGTGAGTAGTTCATCATCACCTCCCTGCCTGACGTGAGTAGTTCATCGTCGCCATGGTCAGTTGTACTTTTATTCTTCGTTAAGATGACGGCTATAATATTACAGATAACGGAGACTGTAGTAGAACACAAGCAAGTAATTAATTTATTTGCCCACAATACCTGAAGCAACTTTTTGTGCTTGTATGACCTGCGAGGTGAACGGTGTTCATAGTTGCTAAAGATGAGTAATGTTTGAAGTCGATTCGTGGGGTTAATAACAGATATTTTCCAAGCATGGGGAAATTTTGAATAAATTTCAATCTTAAATTAATTTAAATTTTATTTTAATGCATGTTGTTGTATGTGCAGTGCAAGCCGGAGCAGGTGCAGGCTGTACGTGAGCACCAGGACCCTGCACCACAGCTGTCGCAGCTGCCGTGGCTCAACTATGCTCTCGGTGACGTCATCACCGTCCTCGACAAAAGGTAATGATATCACCATTCATTCTGCCTGCAAAACCTTCGTTACGCCGGGTCTCTTCAAGTGTTACATGAAATTAGTAATGTGAACTTGTGTAAATTTTTTTTATCTAGCGGCTGTTGACAAGTGGCCTCATTTAAAAAGCTTTAGATGTACTCTTGGTAAATTTAAGCAATTTCAGTAAAATTCAAAAGAAACTGAGTATTTCTGTTATTATTTTATAATTTTGAATAGAATAGAGCAGGTAGAGCAGGCGAATCATGCTATTGTTTCAAATATGTTGCTTGCTATTCAATCTGCTGTAATTGAATAGCAGTAACTCGCTAATATATTACACGCAGACTACCAAGCAACTGCGGCATCAGCTGACTCTGTGTCTTAGCGATCTTTGTTAACCCTCGTCAGGCTGTTGAATTTGACAACTTTATAATCGTACCAAGTGTGGGTACTGTTTTACTGAGCAACTTCATCAGGGTTAAGCTAGGAAGAAACCTTAACAGGAAGTAAGGTACCACTCACCCATGAACTACCACTCACCATGACCTACCAGGTTACCACTCAACATGAACTACCACTCACCATGAACTACCACTCACCATGACCTACCACTCACCATGAACTTTCACTCACCATGAACTACCACTCACCATGAACTACCACTCACCATGAACTACCACTCACCATGAGCTACCACTCACCATGACCTACCACTCACCACAATTCACCTCAGCTGCGCCACTCACTGCCACTCTAAGCTCGCTGCTCACTGTGCATGCTATTATTCACCATGTTTTACATCTCTCCTCATTCACATGCACTTACCAAATAGTCGGGGGTAGAATATTATCTTTTATTTCATTTATCCAGCGTATTATTTGTACGCTGGAGCTGACGTGCTGCTTGTGGGCAGACCGAGCACAGAGGAGAGCTCGCAGGTCATATGGAAGGGTGTCCTGAACAACGGCAAGACAGGCTTCTTCAACCCCAGCCACACCGTCGCCTACCTGGGGCCTAATGTGCCCAGCAACAAACTGCCTCTCGTCAGGGGGGGTAAGGCCTTCTCCTCGCCAGTCTAAAGCTATTAACACACTGTAGTTTTGCTGCTTTTTACACCACATTTTGTTCTTTTACTTCATTTTTATTTGTGTGCCACAGTGTCATCAATTCTAGATCATTTCTAATTTCAAGCTCTAATAAAAGTATATTATCTCTACAGAGATAAAATCTTAGTCTTTTCAGGTATTTTTATTGTTTCGGTTATTTGGTTGTTATGTTGGGATTCCTACTGAGAAAATAGACCATGAGCTATACTCCTGGCATGGAGCTACCGTTATTCTTTAATGTTAAGTGCATAACGTTAACTTTCGTAAATCTTGCGAGAGTGTCTTTCATTTGCATGTTATTAATACTTCAACATAACTTTGTACATGAAAGTTTTGTACTGGGACGTTATATAAGTATGTATCATAGTTTTGATTAAAACCTTTCTTCATAAAGAAGCAAACCGAACTTTTCACTGAAAACAATGCCACAATATGCTGTTATTATGATGATCTGGTTACATTATTTTCAATTGAATAGAATAATTTCAATTGAAATGAATTACTTTCAATGTAAATAAACAATCAACGAGCTGGTAATGTGCGTGGTGCTTGAAATGAATTATTTTCAATAAATAAACAATGAATGCGCTTCTAATGTGTGAGGTGCTTGAAATGAATTATTTTCAATGTAAATACGTGCTGCGTATTATTGTATATATAATGTAAATCAACGATCGTATATAATGTAAATAAAAGCACAACGCGCTGCTAATGTGTGTGGTGCAGACGGCAAGAACACCTGCTCGTCACGCCGCCGTCTGAGGCCCGACATGATCAGCAGGCCCCAGGGAGACCTCAAGCACACCGGCCACGTGGGCCTCGACGGCACCTTCTTCGGTGACGTCGGTATCCTGGCTACCAAGACTGATGTGCCTAGGGTCAGTCCTTCTTGTGTAATTGCGTTATTTAACTGTATTATTATGGAAGCATATTTCCTGTGGTACTTTTTAGAAGATGAAGAGTGGATAGGATGGAAAGTTAAACTTTGCCATCTACAGTACAAGTAGGAAAAAGTGGTTATTTTGATTAACATTATAAACACTCGTCAGATTATTCATGCCTCATACTTGGTATCACTTCTACACCGTCTGTATGAGAGTCTCGTGCTCGGATATTTTCTCAGGGCTGGTGCAGAAGCCATTCCATGCATAGGTTGTCGCAGTGTGAAACTGTAGTCTGCTAGGAGAAAAAATATAACTCAGTACTCACTGCAGTGAGTGACAGAGAGCGCATTTTCTCGTCGACGAAATCGTGAAATCACGGACGGACAGACAGACGGACGGACATGACGAGCAGAATAGGACATTTTTTCCATAAATGAGAAAATGCGCTAAAATGGGCTCTTATTTTGCTGGGCATGCTTTTTTAAGAATTTATTACCACCCAAAATTGGGGATAATTTTGTGTCGTCAGGTTATAACTGAACGTAAAATGAATTAAATTAAGCCATCGTTCTTTTGTAAGTAAGATAATTCGTTATGTGACAACCTTGCATGCTTGTTACTCACCGTACCATAATGTTGGTGCAGGTGGAGGGCGTGCCCGTGCACCGCGTGCCGCCCTACAAGCCCTACCACTCTGCTGACGCAGACGCGGCGTCCGCGCTGTCCCGCGCAGGTTCTGACGCGTCCGAGCGAGCGCCCTTGCTCAAAAAGGTGACTCGATTCTTCGACTCGTGACTTGCATGTCGTCTCTGATCTAAGAAACGAGCAAAATTCAATATGTATTGTTCATTCAAACCATCGTAATAAGCTTTCGTCTCACTCAACGCAAGCGTTGCCTTTCTTTAATTAAAAATGTATCTACTTGTAAATGACTTTTTTGCTGTTCTTGAATTTAAATTGACCGATTTGATCACACGGTTGTGATAGAACGATTTTACAGCGACAGAAGTCTTCGCGCTCAAATTGTGCATTAATTTTGTTGTCCTTATTCAATGACAAATTAAACGTTCACAAGCGTAGCTTTAAAGCACGTGGGGTGAAGTATCTCATAAATTAGATCCAATTCTTGAAAAATGATTCCTAATATTTGCGCAGTTACTAAATCATTCAATTATGTAGGCGATTTTTTCATTTCCACTTAATGGGAATTGATAAAAGGTCTGATCAAAATGTAAATTATTGCAAATATGTACATCGCTGCTCATAGATGCCCTAATGTGTTTAGCAATATTTTTCTTTATATTCGTGGGCAGTCAAGCGACGAGTACCGAGCAGGGCTGAGCTGCAGCGTCAGAGGGCGGGAGGCGGCCGCCCCGACCCCCAAGAACCTGGAGGGCCTGCGAGGGCTGGACGCGCTCTCTGCCGCCTCCCTCAGCCAGTACCCGCTGGAGTCCATTGACCACTACACCGAGATATCCGACGAGGAGCCTGAGCACCACAAACTTAACGACAAGAGCGATGATCGCCTCTGCAACTCGCTCTTCAACACCCTGCCTGCTGAGCGTGACAAGGGCCGCGCCTCCTTGGCTGCTCGCAAGGATGTGCGTCTTGCTTCTCGTAGCATGGTTCTTAAGCTATATTTCTGTACTGTTCTACTCCTCAGGATTTGTGTGGTTATAGTTATTTTTGTTAAAGCAGATATTGAACAGTACTGGTTTACTCCTAATGATTAGTACTCTCAAAACCATCATCAGCATGAAATTAATGAACAGTCTTAGAATACTGGCATTGTCTGGTGTAGTTACTCTATTCGAAACGATTATATTGGTAAGCCTGAATATTTAGGTTTAGTAAGTTGTGTGTAAACCGCCCCTGATTACGCCCCGGATGTGCGCGTGGTGCGTTCATACAAAATTAAATTCCATTTACCCTCCTTGATCGCCCTAATATTTCCCTAGTGAGAATTCTGGTCGCTGGCATGGCGTTGTCAATTCGGTGTTGAAGACAGTATGTGTTTCCCGTGTCTGGTTTGCTCTTCACATTCACTGTTAACTGTCATGCATAGTCGCATTAATGGTACTGGGTGCCGTGTTGGTGTACTCGTATCGTGCGGTTTTGAGCCAAACTCACCCTGAGCTCGCATAAGTCCTATGCTCCTACAGGCATATTTACATCTATACATCTATATCTATACATCTTTACACCATACGCTATATGAGCGTTTAAAACCATACTCATTTGTAGGACTTACATATGTTTGACGCAATTTAATACTAAGAATTATGCCGTCTAATATTAACATTAATCAACGTCAACGCAATGTCTCAGTTCCAGGATGGTAGGATGGTTGTTCACTGAGAAGAATGTAACTCGTGTATTCAGTCTCTTTCACTACAATTCCTATTTTGTTTGATGCCTTTTTGTTGTAATTTCGATTTTGCGTTCAATTTTGGTTCATTTCATTTGAAGGACACGCATCAAAAGCGCCGCTGCTACTCATATATTTTAAACGCCCCTAGTTTTTTGTCAATTACTATTCAATGCGTGAACCTCTCAGTCTTACTAACTTAGAGTTCTTTTTTCTAAACCTATTTTTAGTTATTTTTATCGATAGTATTATGCTTAGCTTAACGCCAAATCATTGCACAGCTTTCCATCTAGACAACCATAACGTCCTGGGACCGGAATATTAAAACTCGTTTAAGTACACGGAGCGGTCTAAGTACACGTAGCGGCTGATTCCTAGTCTTTGATAGGTGATTTTAGCCCGAAAGGCAGCCAGTGATTGGGCTAACGGAGATAGAATAGAATAGAAATGTCGGCACTGAAGAAATAGGCCCATGGCCTGTTGCCGATTCTTGAACTTTTCGTGACTTGATTCACAAGGGATCCGGCCTTTGGAACCCGATCTTTCCATAGCTGACGATTGATTGAGATAGCTGCTGGACTTATTGCCTGGTCCGTAAGGTGCTAGACATTTCATGACTGAACTTATGCTCCTGCATAGCGTCGTCTAGTCTGTTCTTGAAGGCGTTCATACTCGGAGCGTCAACGATGCTATCAGGGAGGCTGTTCCACATGTCGGTGACTCGAAGCGAGAAGAAATGTTGTCGTATGGATGTGTTACAATGCAGTTTTTTTAGTTTATAGCTGTGGCCCCAGGTGTTGGTTCTTGTTCTTAGATAGAGATACGAGCTCGTAACTAATTGTTATAGTATAGCTCGTGGTTGCCCCACAGGATGGAACAAGTCGCAGCACCTTCGACCTCGGCCCCAGCCTGATGGACGAGGTGCTGCGTGCCCTGGACGACTGCACCTCGACCACCTCCCCCGACGACGCCTGCCGCGCCACTGACGCTGATGTCAGCAACGTCAGGAATGAGATCAGGGAGCTCACGCTCGGCAGGACCTCCAAGAAGAAACAAGTCACGGTTGGCGTAACCCCCTAAGCTGTGCTTGTGACCTTGTATCCGTTTCAGCTTTAATTTGAATTCGACTAATAATATTGGCTCATCTTGAATGTGATATCAATGGTTGAGATCAGTAAATCCATGTAGTTTGTCGAAACATTTTTTAAATCTGTTGTAATCTTGAATAGGTACTGTTTCTATTGCTTATTGATTTTATTAAAAGATTCGTCAATGTGTGAATTGGAGTTTGTTGACTGACGTTGAGTAAGACATACCGCGACAAATATCGTCCAGTTAAAGTTTATTCATATTTGTTTTGATCTTAGCAGTCGCCCTGCTTTGCAATTTTCATCGTAATAACACTAATACATATAATATGTATAAGTTAAGAAATGTGTTAAAAATGTCGCTTAGCTTTTTTACCTCACCGAACATTGCTACTAGAAGTAATTACGTTGCTATATTTAATAAATATTTCTCATTTGCTTGGAAATGCCAAATGTCTATATCATCACGAAGCTTATCAGTTGCTTGCAAGTTACGTTCTCTGTTTACTAATCTGTACAAGTTTATCGTTTCGCGATGCCAATTGTCAGCTCAATGAGGTAGAATCTTAAGAAACAACCATGACAAGGCAACAATTTGTTTCACAGCAGCTCTGAATATATACAATTTATATGAGCAGGTGAATGAGCCATGATAAGGCAACACTTTTTTTTTACATATATACGTACAACAATTGTACAACAATTTTTTACATAAAATTTGTATGCGCAGGTGAAGCCCATCTCAGCGAGCGACGAGCGCACGCTCGACTCAGCCATCGCGCTCGCGCACGAGCTCGCGTCGCGCTCCATGCTCGCGCTCAACCAGGCGTGTGAGGCGGACGTCTGATGAGTGCCGTGTGAGGGGCTGCGTGAGGTGAGTGCCGTGTGAGGAGCTGCGTGAGCTGAGTGCCGTGTGAGGGCTGCGTGAGGTGAGTGCCGTGTGAGGGGCTGCGTGAGATGAGTGCCGTGTGAGGGGCTGCGTGAGGTGAGTGCCGTGTGAGGAGCTGCGTGAGCTGAGTGCCGTGTGAGGGGCTGCGTGTGAGGTATTTATGAGGACAGCAATAAATATATCGCTGTCTCCATGTATTAAAACCGCTCACTGCAAATCTCTGACACGAATAATTACTGTAAATTATTCTGGTTGAAGTGTACGGAATGTTTTATTTAGAGCAAGTGCATTTTTTAAACTTGGTCAAACTTCTGTAAGACAACGCTGTGAAAATTTTTGCGGATTGCGGATGTGATCCTAGTTGTTGCGACGTCAGTGAAGGAGGCTCTAGATTGCCAATCATTTTGGTCAGAAGCTTTAATCAATCAATCAACTCGAGCGTGATTGACCGTGTAGGACGCTGTTTGACGGTTGGAGCGAAGCTTGAGGGTGGTTGATTGGAAGTTTGATTAATGAAATTGACTGATGGAAAAAGACGCATATTTTCAGAGAGAGGAAAGCCAAATCCTTATTTGGAACCATTGCTCATCACCAAATTCAAAACCACATAAAAACCATTAGCGATCGGACAACAAGTGTTCACTGATCCTATTTCTGATACGGAGAAAAGTTTAGATCCCATCACGCACATCCCGTCACGTGTCAAAACAGCATAAATAACGGAACAAAACTGGTGGAACGACTTGTTCCTAACGCTTAACTTGTTCCTTACGTGGGACTTGTTCCCAATGTCGGACTTGTTCCTAACGTGGAACTTGTTTCTAACGCTTAACTTGTTCCCAATGTGGGACTTGCTATTCCTGGTGAGGAGGGACTTGTTGTTCCTGGTGAGATGGCACACACTTTTCGTTCTTTAAAGTTACGTCACGCTTGACGCAATATTCAGTAATATTGAACATTGCGTCATTTACTTTTTCAAATAGCATTTTTTGCTAACTAGCGTTGTCCACAAACGTGACAAACCGATCCCATGCGGCCGGGGAAAAATAAGTGTTTTCTGCTTGTTGATGTGTTTCCCTCAGTAGCCACACTAGTGATATTCTCGTTGTAAGCGCACTGAGCTGAACGCTGACCTCCCCTGCAGGTTCAGCTCGCGCAGCCCCAAGCACGAGCGTCGGCACTTCAGCGAGGAGGTCGCTTCTATACCCGACATCCAGGTGAGCTCACGCCTCATTCATACCTGCTTATTATTTCCAGAACAAAGTCTAGTTTTAGTGTTTTCAATTCCTTATTTCTCACCAGGATTATTTCCAGAATTAAGTTTAGTTTTAGTGTTTTCAATTCCTTATTTTTCACATGGGAGAATGTTGCTCTATTTCGTGAGGTTAAATGTCTCGATTATAGACTTTGAATCTTAGCTGCGAGTGAAGGTGTGGTTCAGCCAATAGATGTTCAATAATTTTGAATTTCTCTGCTTAAACTTTTGACTGTTACCGGGAAGTAAAAATCTTGATCATTTAAATATAAATAAATTTTGCATATCTCATAACAGCTTTTAACAAAACTTCAACCTCCGCCTAGAGGTATTATGTCTGAGTTGCGCTATTCTTCATCAGAGTAAACAGCTTGCCAAGAATGTCGCAATTTCATTTCAAAACCTCGATATCAATCTAATTCACGTGGTCTTTGGTAACCTTTGTTACCTTCAGCCAAGTAATATAATTTGGGGTTTCCCTGCTCATAGACTCGCTTCATTCCACTTGAACATAAGAGTGTAATAATAATTTTCTCGGAGCATTTGTCAAACTGAACGCCGCTCGTATGTTCATGGCGTATTACTCATTACGTATTCCTTCACATGGATTATAAGCTCTAATTAAATATGATTTACGTGTGCATATCATCACTTAACTCGTATAGGTTCTTGTTATAATCCTTGCCCTGATTTTGTTGAATCATAATTTATTTTGTAATCATCTTCGCTTGTATGATTCCTTATAAATGCTCTTTGTTGCTCTTGTCGAGTCCAGTAAGCTCGCTTGTTGTCATATATATGATGTTATAGGTCCTAGCTTTTAGTTATGCATGACGTTCCAAGATTTGCTAAATGTATATAGCTTTTTTACGTGTGAGCACAGGATTGTTGATTAGTTTTTTAATTTATTTGTGTTTTAATCGTAGTTTCCCAAATGATCTGTATTTTGTTACATAGCACATTATTCTTCAGTTTTTGCATCTAGTTAGTTTATTCATTATGTATGGTCGTGTAAGTGGCGTTTTTGTGTAGTTGTGATTTTTGCTTTTTATGTGGCATCTTGGTGCTTGTGTTGCGTCAGGCGAGCATCCCGGAGCAGGCGAAGGAGGCTTACAATGCACTGGTGGGTGGCTCAAGCTGCCACTCAGACACGCATGCCACTAATGCCATGCCACTCAAACGCTCCGAAGCCTTCCACCAGCACGCCTCCAAAGACCTCAACACTGCAGCAGAGAACGGCCTGTCCGCCTCTGGTAAAGTCTTGGCAGGCAGGAAAGCATCTTGTGACGTGACCGTGCAACAGCCTCCTGATCCCAGCGCCTCGGACCACCACAGCAACCCACTGCGCCTGCTCAGAGCCGGCATCACCGTCAGGCCTAAAATAAGAGGCAATAAACATAGCCAGGTTCTGAACTTGGTGCCATCTGATGGCCCCAGCTCTCCTTCAATGCCTTCCTACCAAGATTCTACTCCGTCATCTTTGAAAAGCTATTCTGATTCCAGTGTAAGTGCCTCGCAAACTTTACCAAAACATTTCAAAAACAGTGAAACTCGTCGTTTGAAAGACCGAATTTCAGAAATTAATCAAGCTCTCGCCGGCGACTACGTGCCGAGTGGTGGAACAGTAAGTGGCGATGCCAGTGCAGAAGGTGATGGTAATCCTTTGCCTCTTCCTCCTAGAGATAGAACAAGAGCATCTCAGAACTTCACGAAGCCGAGGCACCATAGGAAGCATCCACTGATCATACCTGGCATGCTAGGCAATGCGTTATTCCGTTCTTTTCCCTCTAACTCGACTTCCCCCTGGGCTGATAAGACTGAACCTAATACTAACCTGGGCGGGCGGCTCGTGATACAACACACACATAACCCGCAACTTGAAGACAAGACGGCAGTTAAACCTGGGGTCTTGGCGGCCGCTGCTTTGCATTCATCTCCACGAGCTGACGACGACTCCTTAGATGTTACGCAAGACATGCTCGCTCTTAATAGACTCTCACAAGATGGGTGCTCGGAAAGTAACAGAAGTAGCATGACCGACCTATCAAACGCTGAGGACTCTAATTCTAAATCATCAAGCGTTCCGCCGGCCAAACCTCCCAGACTTTTTTCGTGAGTATCATACAGATTCAGTTACTCACCTTCAATTTCTGTCGTTTCTTGCAATCTGTAGTTTTTGTTCGCAAGACGTTGATATTCTGTCAAGAAAAATTATAATTTTCTTGCATTTCATTGTAGAATTATTTGATCAAACAGAATCAATAATTGATTCTGCCAGCAATAACCGCGGAACAGCTTATGCTTACCGTAGTTATAGACATCGATTTTATCGAGCGAAAAGTCCTCAAAATTTCTCTTGTGGCCCTGCAATGCCTGGGTGTGGGTATGTTGTTCTTCAAGTCCGTCATGATGGATCTCTGCACCGAGCTTTTCACGGCTGTTGTAGTGAATGCGGTACGCTTGATACCTCAATTTAATTCATTATCTTACTCTTGCCTTGGCGAACCCGTATATACTTGTTGTTTTCCATGCCCAGGTGAGTGCTGTTGTAGTTCTGTCCAAAGTTTTTTTTTACTTTCACTCATTTGCTTTTTGTAGCAAAATATAATCTCGCTTTGCTTGCACCCATTCTAGTATTATTACACATATTCATCACTGCATCTACATTTACTTCTTTTTGTGTTGAGCTTTTGTATGCATAGTTTAGAGCTTCAAAGTCAGCACCAAACGCTGGCTGTCGTAATGCAATTTTTCCTCAGTGAAATCAGTTTGTTACCTCGATCTCTTAATCTGTGTTACGTGACATCGTCCTGTGCGATGACTGTAAGCAAACGACGGTACTTAATTGAGACTCGCTGCTGTGGTGAGTCGGCTAGAGACTCGCTGATGTGGTGAATCGGCTAGATCTGCGACTGCCGTTCTCAAAAGTTGATGGTAGTACACAATGCGGGCCATTATAGTTTCCAAATTATTCAATCGGTCGCACATTATTTGTGTTATTGCTAGCACTATATTACCTAACAGCAAAGCATATTTTTGTGCAATCAAGTGGGAACTCTTCTCCAGTCCTCAATCCGGTCAGTTTTATCACCTTGGTTTACACGACAGTGGAACGTTTCGGCGGCTTAAGAGATTAAATATCAATGTTTTCTTGGTCATATCAGTTTTGAGACTGCACTCCTAATGAGGAAAAAAGATGAAAAGACCACACAAATGTTATATTTATTCTAATTATATTTTATTTCGCTCTTCTACAAAATTCTACTGTTTTGCTCTGCGTAAATTTTGAATTAGTTACTCGGAATATCGGAGTTAACTTTTTAATCAGTGGGAGTCAGCACGCTAGAGGTTTTCTTATAATTATCTTGTCTGGAACAAATCAATCACTTGATAATGTGCGGTTGGTCTTTAACTTTGTGCTGCATTGCACTTCAGCTTTTCAATGAATTCGCAAATCTCTAAACTTGTGTTGACTGTATTATACAAGTACGTTCATTGTATTTTTTTCTTTGCACTGGCAAAACTCGCTTGTGTCTACTGCTCATGTAAAGTGATGGTATTTTTGTGGTGCAGGAAGGACTGTGTTGATGGCGTCGAAGTTCAAGTGGCAGCTGATGGCAAGGAGGGACTGCAGCAAGCTGGTGAGATGGGTCTCTTCGAGGGAGGGACTTTCTCGCTGAGCCCCCGGGCCACCAGCCTGCTCGACCAAAACCCTTTCCTGTATTCTGACAGAATTATGAGAGAAGGCAAAAGAGACCGAACATCTTTAGGTAAAGTTTATCAATCTGGAGACCACGTGAGCTGCGAGGACCTTCTCGAGTTCGCACTTGACAAACCTGATTCTCGAAGGACCTCTGGACCACAGCATGGAGAGAGCAGCGATGAGTGTAAACTCATTCTCAAGATACTTAAAAATCAGGTTACATTCTATAAATAAACTAGCTTTTGCCTTTGACGTGTTGTTCCATTTTTGAAAAATGTTGCACATATAATATTGCAGTCGAGCATGCATGGCCAAATTAATGTATATGATGTAGTCTTTGTGCTATCACATTGCTAGTGTGAAGACCAGACTTTAGATTATGTTATTTATTTTCTTGGTCTCCGTTTGCTGTTTTACGATATTTTTCGCTGTCTTTTGCATATCGCAGAGCAGGGTTCAAAAGAACACGTTTCGGATATTCAGTGTCAATTTCCAGCTAGAATGCTGGCTTTATAAAATTGTTGATTTTGACAAAAATGAAAGAACAGGAACTTAATCAACAATATCTTTTCACTGGTCCTCTGCACAACTTGTATACAAAATTCATTGTTTAGCAGAACTAAGAAATTAATGTAATGTAACGTCTTTTGTTCAATTAACACGCATAATGCGTTCGATCACTTAGTACCTACATCTCCAGAATCTAGGAACTGAATTTTCACATCACCTGTCACAGCCTCGGGCTGATCCAAGTGAATTGCAATGACGACTGGTCTAAAATATGAACGCGCATGGAAGAGTTAACTGTGAAATACAAAAAAAGTATTAGATTTAAGCGCAGTATACCCTGCGATGGCAGATGAGCCCAGCTGTACGCTCGCTAGCATCTCGACTTGCTAATTGATAAGCTGCTCCCAAGCCCTCCCTTTAGTTCCATCGCACTGCCGTTGGCCGATGTGTCCAGCGATTGTGATTCTTTTGCGTTTCTTAACACGCTTGCAAGCTTATAATATTGATTTGGATATTCACTGAACTCGAGATTATGGGATTTTTAATCTTTGTTCTCGTTATACATGATGAATTGTTTGCTCATTTTATATTTCTTTCGCCGTTAACTTCTCGACAATTACAAGTTTTGATATGATGCGTGCGCATCATCACATTAGACGCTCCCTAAAAAGCTGTTGTTGCCTGCAGGTGTCGGGACAGGAGTGCGTGTCTGCGCTGGACGTGTGCCACTGGGACGTGCATCACAGCCTCAAGCTGCTGCGCGTGCTGCTGCTGCTGCTGCCGGCGCAGCGTCCTCAGCTCAACGTCGTGCGGGAGACGCTCGTCGCCTGTGGCTGGGACGTGGCCAAGGCCGCTTCATTCCTGTCCAATTCTCATGCTTGATTCTCTCAGTCCATGTTTCTCTCATGATTGATAAGCTCTTGCTTACTAGATTAATCTCGTGCTTTATTCTGCCTTGTCTCTGGTTAGTACAAGTTAGCTTACAAATTTTCATACCGTCGATCAGGCACTTGGACAGACCTACTGTAATCCAATTAATCTTTCATTATAAAACATCATACAATATAATATGCAACCAGTCGTCTACATTAAATTTCAGCATCTTCGTCTCGAAATACTTTGACTCTGGTAAACCGCATAGTTCACTAGACTCTGGAATTTTACAATGTATATCTCTTGCTAGGTATCACATTCTGCTCAAGTTCAAAATGTTTTGACTTGTGCTCCACGTCTATAATTTATTTTCCACTTGTCTTTTGTATGCTAATTAATTGACATACCGTTAGCTTAAGCGGAGCAGTGGTGACTCGTGCCAAAATAACCTTGCAAATTATTTTAATAATAATTTTATTTTAGAATAAAATTAAAGATTTGTATGAATGTCTGTCTGGCAAGGACTTCTGTACGATTTCTTCCATGAGAATATTGGTGAACAAATATTTTCCAACGATCTAATTCGTTGAAACGAGAGAGATGAAAAGTATTGATATTCTTACACATATATTAGCTTGAAATCTCATAAAGGAATCTCCAAGTTATATGTTAAAAATTTTTAAATTCAATTTTTATTTGCTCCTAGGTGTCTTTGGTATTTTTTGTTAGAAAAAATTTGGTTTAAGTTGGTAATTCATGTATAGTTGCGTATTTTGTGCGTATTATTACTCGAGGCTGCTGTGCTATCTTCTAGTTTGTCAGCATTGAGTTTGTTCCTGCACTCGTGAGCTGTGTTCGTGAGACCACAGCTGAGGCCATCGGCAGCCTCGCTGCTGGGCTGGCCTCCTCAGCCGCTGCTCAGACGACCATCTTCCTGAATGCCAAAATCAGAGCCAAATCAAGAATTGTTTTCAAGTCAGAGAAATCAGAGTGATTTTTTCTTAGCAGTTGTTTTTAAATAAAAATAATGACGTGAATAAAAGCAGTTCCACGTTGAAGCATCTTAGGTGGCGTACTATGATTGTCAAACCTGGGGTAAATGGAAGTTAATGCATTGTTCTTGCAGATTTAATTCTTCCAGCGCGGAATCACGGCTATGTCCCGCGCAATAAATATGTTTTTAGGATGCAAGGAACGGCTTGAAAATCTACTCCATTTCTTACAACCTTATTGATGATCATTATTAGAATGAAAACGCTGTAAACGCTAATGAAAATTGTCCGGCAGCTCTTTCAGATCTGGTAGAGTGTAGACGATTCGTTCATTTCGTTGTGCGCAATGGTCTTGTGTATCACAACATTTCAATCCATGTGCAATAAGAGAGATTTTCAAACGGCGAATGATTGTAAAGTTATTTGTTTTATCGAAATGTAAATATTTGTGGTTCAAACGATTGGTCTGCATACTCCTTTGAACCGAGATTTTTTAGGTATGACTGCTCTGAGGAATTAAGAAAATATGTCAGTGCAAGCGTTCACATATCAGTCGAAGGCAGCTGTCCTGAGTGAAAATTGGAGAGCCAGTCGATGCTAAGTCATAAATTTGTAGACGGTGCGAGTCAACAACACTTGTTAGGTTTAGCGAATAATTCTTGTATGCTTAGCCTATAGAGCATTCGGATAAATAGAAAAGTTCTGATGACATGCTTCCCCCTCGATCTTACGTAATAAACTGAATCTCAACAGCAATTGAGGATCTGAAGCGGACTAACGTCTGCTGCTGCCTGATGGTCTCAGGCGATGTGGGGTTTGGGCTACACGCAGCGCGTTGCGTGTCGCGCGTTGCGTGTCGCGTCTTGCAGAGTTTCTTGTTACTCGAAGTGCAATTTATGCTCACTCTTTCATAACTTCAATTCTCTTAATGAATTCTCTGGTAGAAATGACAACTATGGTCACTATTATTAGAACTTATAATAACAGTAATTCATTTCTTTGCTTCATATTTTACGAATTTGTCAATTCTATTCTGGGAGGTAATGTTGTTATGATATTTTGAACTTATAGACAATAAAATATGGTATTATCGTCCTGGTCTCTTACAAGACGTATTTCGGACACTGTGTTCGGCAGAGGCGTTTCTAGGGACCACATGTCGCGTCTAGTATTAAGGATTCGTGTTCGATTTTATTTGTAATCATTTATTTTTCTATTTTTTCGTCCTTGAGCACATGCTTCTGACTTCGAAGTGTTGGCTGATGTTCTTAGTTAACGATCACAGCTCGCTGGTCTTCGCTATACTTATGCTCTACAAATGTGATGAACTTCTCTAATGTTGCTCCATGTTGATCTCCGCGACGGGGCTTGCGCACAATTATCAATTGTTGTTAATTTGATCACTTTTTAAAGAATAAAAACTGCGCGCCTGAAGTTGGTGTCGCTATAAACTCATCGTAGCCTCAGTGTAACCAATTAATGTCTGTTTCAGTCCGGGACCGCTCAGTGCTTCACTCAGATGATAAGATGAGCATGTTTTCATTGAGGCTGGCTGGAATGCGTCAAATTTTCTTTAGCGTAGAAATAAAAAATTTCTCTCCTGCTACTTAAATATAAATAATAATACTTAAATAATTCTCTCCTGCTACTTAAAGGTTTAGAGCAAGATTCCCTTCCACTTAGTCAGGCCGTTAATAAAGAGAAGCTGTCCTCTCTCGACAGTTCTGTTCAAGTATTACATCAAACTGTTCTCACTCACTGTCCTTTCTAAATGTAAGGCATTCCAGATCAAATATGGCTCAGACTATTTCTATTGATTGTGTGTAACTTCGTACTGTGCACGCGAATCTTTCCGCATTCGATTCTTGCCTTCATTATAACGAGCTCGGGATTAGTTGAAAGTTGGTTTGTATGACCTGGAACTCCTATTAGTCAAGTTATTTCACCAAGGATTATTTTTCCGATGTCAAAATTACATCTGATGCTTGATCCTCTGAAGATCGGTCATCTTCAACGCACAGAAGGCAAGACAAGCACGTTTGAGTCAGAATTCTACTTGTATTTCTTCTTCATTTTGATGTTTGCATTTGGCTAGAATCGATTACTGCATCCCATCTCCCCAAGTGCCAACGTCTATTAAGAATTTATTTACCTTGATAGCCTATGATGTTTCTACATTAGTAAATTAGTCCAAATCACTGTACGCCTGTTTCAGCTTTAACGTATCGTTAAGGTTTGACATTTAACCTTTAACAATATTTTCGTATTTTCACAACGTATATCTGCTGGCTTGTTAAACACTAACTTCAATCAGCTCAGACAGCGATTCAGGGCTGTTTGTCCAGGCAGAAACCGGCACTTTTAGGACCTACTTAATATTGTAAACAGCACTGTAGAAGTACTCTAAATTATTTATCCGGCATCAAACAATGTTTAATTAAATTGAAGATTGCTCTGCAATCTCCTAGCAAACAATTCCAAGCTGAGATAGACGGCTCAACTTTTAATAATTTATCCTCATTTGTTGCGGCTAATTTTAGATTAAGCGCATGGCTTAGACTGAAAATTTTTAGATGATGTGTGAGAATTTTAACTTATGTCTTATTTAAACAATATTTGGTGTCCTAAATAAAGTCTTAAATTTTCTGAAATAGAATAAAAATATCTGTAAGTAAAGCATTGCCTGCGACGCGCCTGCAATATGAGCGACGCACTTCATACACACCGTCTCTTGTGCTGTCTCTGCCATACTGTGTCGCTTATTATGTAGCTATTATATTCTCTTGATTGCTCCTTACCCGTCCACCATGACTGTCTAATGCAACTGCTGCGTGCGTATGTAATTTGTTTTAGCCCTCTAAATTATCTTGAGATTTTACTTACTTGTACATGTGGACGACTTTATTGCTTGTGGTTGAAGAAACCTTCGCACTAAATCAAAAATTAGTTATCTCTACAAGAACGAATCTTGAAATGAGTTAGAAATCTGTTTAAATCGTTTTTTATGTTAAATTCTACTGCAGCTGTAATTTTAAATTATTCTCTGAGCAGCTAAGTGTAAGCTTGTATGTTCAAGTCAAGTTCTTAATTGTTCACTCGGTTAAGTTTATTGCCTTTCTTCCGCTTGTGCAATTGAAGTAATTGCCGTAGAGATCGTCAGTTGGTCACACAAGCGGCGCTTCCCCCATTAAGGGAGCAACTAAGAGCCACGCTGGCTTCATGTCGTGTCATGTATTATTGGCGGGATCGTATTGAGCCTATCTTTTCTGAAAGTTTGGCCAGAAATCTCTGAAAATCTAATGCAGAGCAGTGCAGCAGTGCCTTGAAATATTAATTGCTACGTTAGTACTCCACCCATCGCTGCCCTCCGCCAGCACTCCACCAATTGCTGCCCTCTCGTACGCTGTATTCGTGTTTGTAATAGCTATGCATGCAATGTAAACATATATATCAATTTTTAGCATCTATTATGAGATGCATTTGGGCAGGTGAGACTGGGCCGTTTGATGAGCGTCTGCATTGCTGCAAGGCAGTGTGCGTTCTGAAACGCCTTGCCTTCTGCTTATTGATTCTGTGGCTATTTTCATTGGACTCGTTAGTGAGCTGTAGATTCTGTCGTTGGAAATGCCTTAAATTCGTATAGTATATAAAGATTATTTTAAATGAAAGTGACTGCCACATTCATGTTGTGTATTCATTTCGGTGGAGAGCGTTAGAAATGTATGAATTATTGGCATGGAACAATTCACGCTAAGTGTAGTTCTAATATTTCCGCTGGAATTTTATGTGTGATGAATAACAATGGTGTGAATGTTATGTTCCGATTTTTTTAAAGCTCTTTTCGTAATCCATGTACCGCGCTTACTCACATTTTTTAACTGTTTAATAAACATTCTATACTTCTCCTTGTTTTTACTGCATATTAAAATGATGTAGTATCAGCTCAGTTGGCCGTCTGAGGAAATTTCGATGATAGCCGTTGTTGAAGTTGTTTCCTGAGGTCTAGGGCTTTTACAGCCTTGCTCTTACAAAATGATCTTTAAATATTAGTAATTCTCTTCTCGGTACATTTCTAAATTTTTCGAAAGTGGCTTAAATTTGTGGATCTCGAAAGAATAATTCCCCCTGCCACAGTGACCAAATTTTGATTTGTATGCATAATTCGAATTATCATTACTTGATGAATATTTCAAGAATAGAAGCCATTTGTTTAGCGTATTAAATGACGTAACTTAAAGTGCGTTCGTTAGATAAGAAGTTTAAAGTTCATCAACTCGCTGTGCCGCGCTGCCAGCGATCACCTGGAGCTTCCTCCTCCAGCACCGCGCTTGTGATGCTGACGACAGGTGAGCGGGACCGAGACTTGAGGTGCCTGTACACAGGGATAGTACAGGGTGCGGCGCGGGAACTTACTTATTTGAATTGCGCGCCACGTGGCGGCCATTAGTCCTAGGAAGGTGGCGCCATGCGCAATATGGTGCGCGGGCTATGAAGTTTTTCGTCCACTCAGTTCAGTTGCGACCATGCAGTGGTCGAGAGAGGAGCGCGCGTTCACTCGTCTGACAAAATGTATTGAACAGCATGGAGGTCACCTACAAGATGTAATATTCAAGAATTAAACTTGTAAGTAAACCCAACGAAACTTTAAATGTAGCTCTTAGTAAAAAAGAAAGAATTAAAACGCTATCTTTAATACTTTTTACTTTGTGATTTTTTTAAAAGAGTAAGTTCCCACGCCGCACCCTGTACTAGCCGCTAGTTCATCCGCCTCTTGAACTGTCCACGCTACTAGCCTCGTGTATAGGGGTTCAGCCGCTTCAGAGGCATGTGCCGGCAAGTGCCCAAGACGCGGCCAAGAGGGACAACGATGTGATGATTTATGCGCTGGAGAAGTGGCTAGTAGCGCTGATGCAGCCATGGTGAGAGTATCTGTGCCGCTCTTGTGAAGGTTCTTGGGTCAAGTGAATCGTGGCTTGTTTACACGATAATGTTCCTAAGAAGATCCCAACAAAGTGGGTTCCAGACGATATGCAATTACTATTCTTTGAAATATTCCAAAAATATGAATTAACGTGGAATGTTTGCCATGATGGTTACTCCGACAAAATGAAGAGAGAAACGAGTATTTTGAAGCTGACAGAATACATTACCTTATTAGTCAGGGTTTAGTTGTTCCCGACGTTGCATTTTTAAGGGCTAGAATGAAGAGTATAAAAATGACGTACAGACTCGAGTTGATGAAGGTGGTCTCACTATCCATCTTCACACACCTCGACGGCTTCTAACGACGCACTGGCGGGCGCGAACGGGAAGATAGCGGCACCTATTATACTCTCCTTGTGTACAGGCTTACTTGCCGGATTTACTAGCCACCAAGCGACCGACACTTAGTATAGTATCTTCGGCATTTAAAGAATAGGCCTGTCGCCGATTCTTGTACTTTTCTTGACTAGACTGGCCTTTTGATCAGATCTTTTCAACGGACGTAGATTTAAAATAGCTTTTAGATATCAGTTGTTCCGTAGGACACTTGCCAGATTTACCAGCCGTCTGCACTATCCCCGTGTACAAGCGCCTTTACCTCAGCCGGGCACCGTCGCTCAGACCGCGGGTTTCTTGGACGTATGCACATCATTAACCAATGAAACGCATGACACATATCCAACGAATTACTCGTACTGATCTAGTTCCAAGAAAATGACACCGAAATAGTTAATTTGATTCCAGCGAATAAGGAAGTAATTAAACATGAGTAGGTACTTAAAATATTACTTGGAATTTTCACATACTTCCATTCAAACAATGGGTATAATAGCTTTAGGATTAATATTAGACGGAAATTACCACATGAACGAAATTCTCGGTACTTTTAAATAGCTGATTAATGTTACTCTCGTCATGCTAATTCTCTGAACTAACTCGCTACACAAGCTGGAAACTAAAGTTGGAAGAAGAGAACAATTAATGTTGCTACATTCAATAGCACTCCGTCCAAGTAAATATTTAAAACAATGCAAGGTTGATAAACCGATCTTTCGAAAACCTTGCCAATTACCTTAAAAGTGAAGTCAGTTGGACAGCCAGACAGAACAGCCCAATGACGGACCTGCCATCAGTTTCAAACTACGAACGTAAAAAATCCAGTACGCATAAGTGTGACGTTGCAGTGTATAATCCTCAGTTACTTTACAGCAAATTTTAAATGCGTATAAGCTCGTTTCTTCGAGCTTAGACCATACAACATTCGTTAGAAGACGCTATCAGACGCATAATACATCAACCCGCGGTCATGATTTGATCACTCAATGCCCAACGTCACGTGATTTTCCCAGAGCCAGTCACAGTAGATGTTCAGCATGTAGTCCGATGGCCGAACTTGTTTCCACTCGTTGATGCAAAAAATTCTGTACGAGTCATTGCCGTATTTGCCGATGCCATGCAATTCCTTGGGGTACTGCCAATTCTTGCGTAGATACTCTTCTGCACGGTAAAAAAATTACGAACACATTTTATTAGCAATTAAGTAATTTCAGAATAAACTATCCTCAATATCAGGATAAAGCACGTGGAAATTAATATGGTCTTGATAGAATCAATTGAACTAGCACGTAAGCACTAAATACAACCATGAAATATCAAGTACAAAACCTTTAACGTGATTAAGTTGGTGAATCATTTTAGGCAGCATGCAGTCTACTTATAATGTCTACACTAAAATTTATACTCATGCTTCAATTTTATACTTTTATTTCAGATGTCTTTTCATCTCAGGAGAGGGGGTTTGCAGGCCCCCCTAGTAGTAAAATCCTACTTCCTTGCTGGATCACTGAAAGGGGCTTCCCACAACAATATATTTGCAAGAATCATCAAGTGCCGTGCATACACTAAACAAGAGCTGCATGCAAGTTGAGATAGGCAATACCCTTAGAAATGCACGTAAAGTTTACAGACAGAGAATAAAGCTGTTAATTCGTGAGCAAACTTTGAAGTTGACTCACAAGAAGAATTTAGCACTCATCTGAAGAGAAAAAAGCAACAATCTTCCTGAATAAACAATACGTACATAATATCTCCTGACAGCTGCCTCAACCATCGGCGTGTCCAACTTCGGGGCACGTGTGGCGTAGAACAAAAGTACACTGGATGACAAATTATACTTTGAGGAAGTAAAGTCTAAAGAGACAGAAGGAATAATCATGCTTGCCGTAACCGAGTCACATCTAACAGAGGATATCCAAGATAGAGAAATCGAAATGAAATGCTTTCAACATTACCGAGCAGACCGAAAAGAAGAGAGGAAAAAAGGAGGCTTTATAGTCTACCTCAGAAACTCCATCGAGGCAAAAACAGTTCCCCTGCATTTAGGCTCCAATGGATATGTGGGACATGTTATACATATTATACATCTCTCATCTCCTATTGTGCATAGCTATCGTATACCGACCGCCTGACTGCCCGCCGGAAAAATTCAACGAAACTCCTGAGAGAATATAAACAGAGGTGGCCAACTTGGGTGAACCTTCCCCAAACATTGTGGTTGCAGGAGATTTTAACCTACCACGCATAGGATGGCCACACTTGGACTGTGTAGAACGGCGCAGAGATCAGGACGGAAACCAGACAACAGAACTACGTACTTCGCTAGGGAGCACTTGCTAAGTCAACAGGTGATGGTACCAACAGGAGAACACAATATCCTGGATCTATTCTTCACCAGCAATGAAGAACTGGTTGCTGATATTCGGGTTGAGGAGACCGCACTGTCAGACCATCGACTAGTAGTGGTCGAAACAACAATTGGGATTAGAAACCAGCCCAGACCTACATCTCGAGAGGGCCTGGCCGGGTTAAATTTTCATTATCGAAGAACAGACTGGGAGGCCATTGAAAACGAACTCCTCGACGTCGACTAGAAATCCGAGTTTCTGGAATTAAATGCCGAAGAAATGTACAATAAACTGTGCGAAGTATTACTGCAGGTATGCACGCGCCACACGCCGGAAAGAACGACCCCCAAACGGCAAATAAACCCAAGGGACAGGCGGATTCTTATGAGAAAACGAGCGATCTTGAACAACCAGATAACGGCCGCCTCCAGAAATATGAAGAAGCGGAGGATGGAACATCTAAAGAATAAAATTGAGGACACTGAACGACAGCTGCAGGACTCGCATTAGGCTGAACAACAAGTTGCGGAGGCGCGAGCGGCGGCTGCCATTCGGGAGAATCCCAAAAATTGCTACAAATATGCCCAGTCAAAGGCCAAAATCAGAGCATCAGTGCGGCCTTGAAAAAATAACGAAAAAAAGAAAAATCTAGATCTAGAAAAAAAATCTAGATAGAAGTATCCAAGAATTATCGGCTTATCCAGCTCCCGGGCCAGATGGGGTCCCTGCTGTGTTACTGAAAAAATGTGTCGGTGCACTGAAGGTCCCTTTGACTTTACTCTGGAAACATCATTGAGAGAAGGAAACGTTCCTAGTTACCTAAAATTAGGGCTAATAACCCCTATCTACAAGGGAGGTGCGAGAGATAAACCCCAAAATTACAGGCTGGTTACATTAACATCCCACGTAATCAGAGTATTTGAGAAGGTTGTTGCAGTACATGGAAGAGGCTGACCTTTTCAGCAGAAGACAACACTGTTTTAGACGAAATCGTTCCTGCTTGTCTCAGTTACTGGAGCATAATTGGAGTGCTCTTCAGAAAATTAAGACTGCTGGGAGTCGGAGGTGAATTGCTGGCATGGATCCACAGCTTTCTAACAGAAAGACTACAAGCTGTAGTTGTTGGAGGCTCATGATCGAGCGAGGCTAGGGTGAAGAGTGGAGTACCACAGGGAACGGTACTCGGCCGAATCCTCTTCCTCATTCACATCGTCGACATAGATGTGGCAGTGAACCACGCCACTGCATCGTCATTCGCGGACGACACCAGGATATTAATGACCTTCACGGACAGGACGGACAGTGAGAGGTTGCAAGAAGACCTCTCATCAATATATGACTGGGCCCTAGTGAACAACATGCAGTTCAGCGGGACCAAGTTTGAGGTCCTGAGTTACAGAGGAACCGGAAGAGCTGGAATGGATCACCGCTACCTGGCACCTGACAACTCGGAAATCAAAGAGAAGCGACTCGTTCGCGATCTAGGAGTGTTGATGAACAATCAGACGAATTTTGGTGATCACATAGCGGCAATAACCGCATGAGGTAGGCGACAGATAGGGTGGATCTGACGAACGTTCAAAACGAGAGAAACGGAACCGATGATCACGCTCTTCAGAGCCCTTGTAATACCTATCCTTGAATACTGCTGCCAGCGCTGGACTCCGTTCACACTCAGCGCAGTACGGCAACTGAAAGGGGTCCAACAAACCTTCACTTCCAGGATCAGAGGGATGGAGGAGTTTAACTACTAGGAGAGGTTGCAGCAACTGGGTTTGTACTCACTGCAGAGGAGACGGGAGAAGTATGACATTCTTTACACATGGAACATGATAACCGAAATGGCACCTAACTTCGAAAGCGAGACCTCCAAGAATGAGACACACCAAAACGAAAGAAGGGGGAGACTGTGCAGGATCCCCCACTACGTAACAGATCTGCGGTCAGATTTCAATCCCTGCGGGAAGGATCCCTTTTCGTGGCCGGGCCGAGGTTGTTTAACGTCCTACCAAAGGATTTAAGAGATGGGGAGTTCATCCTGGAGACCTTCAAGAGACGACTGGACGTGTTCCTGGGCTCAATCCCTGATCGACCTCCCCTGCAACACTACCAGCGGCGAGAAGCAAGCAACAGCATCGTGCATCAGGTGGCCCGAATGAATCGGATGAACGATAATCAGAGGCGGTGATCCATCGTGGCCTGGGACTGCTACGCCCGAAAAAACTACTAAGAAAACTAAGGTGCGTGGCATAAACTACGTGATATTGTGCCGTGGCCAAGCATGCTGGAGAGTGTAGGAGCCTTCTCGGTAATATAGTTGCTTTAGGCCATGGGAGCCATAGGACCACGGCCACTACTTCAACCTGGTCTGGTTTGGAGTGATCCAGCGTTTCCCAGCTGCCTCTTAGCCCTGAGGCTGAGTGTAGCCATTGCATTCTGAATGTTTAGGCTGCATTGACTCAAGGGCTAGTATAAGAGTTATATTTGAAGCCGCCTACTGCAATTATCTCTAGTATGGATGGCCTTTCGATTTTGAGATTCTAAATTTTGGCTAGCTTTATTATAGGTAACCTAAATTTTGGCTAGCTTTATTATAGGTAACACAACATAAACAAAAAGCAAGGCAAAATGAAAGTCAGTTTTGATACGCTTTCCTGGATATAACTTTCAGACATGGATCACTATACACAGCAGCAAGATATAGCATGCACAATTTATAACATGCAAATAAAATATAAACCAATTCGTTGAAATCAAATATGTGAGCATCAGCCCATGCTAAAGTGCCATCAGTGTACACAGCCCAAACTAAAGAAGAACTCAGCAGCTGATCCTCACCCGAGAACTGCTTGATGATCTTAGCCTTCCTCTGGTGCTGGCCGAGTGGCCTGAGCGCCTCCGCCATGTCCGTGACGTCTGCCTTCAGGACGGCCTGGGCGCTGCCCCACCGCTCCAGGAACTCCCACAAAAGGTTCTTACCAACAGCTTCATTGCCTGCAATGTCGCACCATCTTTAACATGAGAACCTAATACATAGCACTATCTTGCATGCACGTACAATGAAAACTTTGGTTTGTGTGTAGAATTCCACCCAGCCTATAAGCATTTGGGGGATACACAGCAAATGTGGAAGGATGAGAAATATGAGATTAGAGGGAGAATGTTAAATCCTCAGTTTGAATCCATGACAAGCTCTCACAAAGTATGTTTTTCATTCAACATGATGCTGGAATATGTTCAATACTTAAATATTTCCAATCATATCTATGAGAACTACAGAACAGGAATATAATCAATAGGTATATTTAAACTGATAATTACTTGATAAAAATAATTTAATGAAGGCAATTGTCTCCCGCACATTCTTTTTTAACTTTACTGTATTACCCAACATTGCACATTCCATGAACGATCAAGTGCCCAAAGCAAACCTCATGGACAAGACCAGAATTGCATGTCAGACCTGAGACTTTGTTCATAAAGATGGTGCCAACAAGAAGCTTCCAAGGGTCATGGTACAAAGTCTCCTGGATGAGGTTAAAAGGGCTGCGTGGAGGCACCCACTTCGAGCGGCCCTTCAGCCCAAGTTTAGGAAGCGCTTCAGACTCTGTCTTGAAATAAGGGCTGTTCTTCAGTGGTTCAGCCACGTCAGCATTCACTTTGTCTGGTGTGACTGGTTGAACTTTTGGTTTCTGCACTCGGTTAGGATGAGCCCCGTCTGTGTTTAGACCGAATATGCATTAAAACAGATAACATCATGAAATTGGGACATCGTACAAAATTTTTACAAAATTGCCATGTAACAACCAGAAAATTAGTTGGATTAAAGAAAAAGTTTAAAATTCAGATACATGAATTAATGTTTGAGAATTTCAACTCTTGTTCTTTAACTTCTTTGATTGGGTGCCATATTTTGACAATTAAGGTTGTATTCACAAGCCTTCTAGTCAACAGAAACAAAATGCACAAAGCAATACATGAAAGTTCTTTTCATTCATGGCACTCACTTTGAGCATTAACAATTTTTCGTTTCTTTGGAGGTGGCTGCTTGGGCGACATCACTGTAGGAGTTGTCAGGTTTGTAAGGTCAGTGGGTGCAGGGGATGCAAATAATGAGGGCATGGGGCTGGTGGTGTTGTTCAATGTGGGGGGCAAAGGAGAGATGCTGGAGGTAACTGTTGGGGACATTGGTGGGGGAGAGCGAGCAGAAGATGGGGCTCGTCGGGTTGCCATGGGATATGGCTGGTGGCAAAATTTGAACACTCCTAGATCCAGTTCTATATTCTCCTTAATGGCCCAGTTCTTGATTTCATTGCGAGATCGGAATTTTTTACCTTGCGGACTGAAAGAGAAAATGACCAAATTTCAAATTTAGAAATGAAAATCATTGGGAAACTAGTTAATGACTAGAACAATTGTTTAATAAAATATAAAACTTGGAAGTAGTGAATTGACAGCCTCACCAAATCAGCTCAGATTTTTTCAAAACTTGGAAACTAAACTTCTAAACAAAATACTCTTGTCAGAAGCACAGAATGTTTCTAGTCAAAAAGTATCTGTTGATATAAATAAATTATAAACATTGTAAGTTGATAGCTAAAAAAATAAGAGATTCAGTAAAAAAACAATACTTAATATAATAAAAGCTTCATGATGGAGATGTTCTCAATTTTAATTATCCATATTTAACTTGTGCTTGACAAGCTACAAGCTGAGTTGCAATAATCTTATAGAGTGTACACATCAAAAGGAATACCATAAGCAACCATCAACCAACAAATCTGTCATTCAATATGCCTAATTACACAACCATTCCTGCCCAAATAAAATTTACTACTTAAATATTATAATACGTCACAAAAAATAACATTTTTAGTTTCAAATCAATATGTTATAAATTTTATCCATTAATACTTAGTTCCGCTTATGCTGGGCTTGCATAACTGTGGTATGATAGAGTATTCTTGATGGTTCACAACTTTAGGGTTATGATTGACTTTTAGTCAAATAATCTTTATAATATAATCTACAGTCTAACACAAGATGATTGTGTAAAGGTTTACTACCTCACTCTCATGCCACACATCGAGTTCCACATAAATTAAAACTACATTTTATTCAATTTGTCAATTGTAATAGCACATAATTAAATAAAATATACTAGTAAAACTACTCCCAGTATATGCTAATATATGGTATTGTTGGTGGTGCATGATGTATTGTAATTGTGTAATTCTGTGAGTACAAGATCCCTAATAAAGCCTTTTGAAAATTTTTGTGATAACTGAACACCTTAAAAATGATGAATTTAATGCTCAAATTAATTAGATCAGTTAACCCAGTAATAAATTAATGCATACATATACATATCATGCAGCCTTTCAATATGAATTGATAAGTCAGGTAAGTAATTCATCATTCAAAGAAATGATAACTTAAAATTTAAATGGCAACACCCAAAATCCCTTCAAGCTCCAGTGAATTTGATTTGTATGCTTAGGCTATGCTTATACAGTGACTAATTCAGTGACCAAACTTGACTAAGATAATTCAGATAGAATCACAAAGAGGTAAAATTAAAGCCTTAATACAATATCCTCACCTAAAATAATATACATCAAATTTACCAGCAGACTGGCCACCCATTCTCTGTGAAATTTTTCGGACCCATCCTTCAGGAGTGTGTTCATTGCTCTCAAACACAACTGTAAATTACAGAATAATGTGAGTTTTTTACACATTAAAATATGTACAAAACAAAGTTTATGATTCTAGTAATTTAATAGTAATATCAAGGAAATTCAATATCTTTAAAACTCAAATTCAAGTCTCACTCAATTTACTTTCTATCACTATAACATGAACATATTAAGATTCTGTAACAAGTATGTGTCACAATGGTGTAGGCTAATTTTTCAAACTGATGGAAACAAATGCTTTTATTTATGCAAGTGCATAAATAAAGCAAAAAATTATGAATATATTAAATAGTTTTAACCACCAGATGAATCTGACCCTAGAAAATATTGAATTAAATTATAACTCACCAGGTTTCATCAGGGGATCTCTATGAGCCACCACTTTTTTGCCAGATTCTGCAGTTGATTTAGCTTTGTCCTTCCTTTTGGTAGCAAATGCACTAAATGCACCTTTGAATTTTTCAGTCAAAGATGGTTTGGTGTCATCCAAGCACTCATTAATGAGTGCTTGACAAAATGGTTCATATGATAATGGTTCCGATTTCACACAAACAGAATTATCTGCCACAATAGGTGATGGCTCTTGTTTAATTATAGCTAATGGGCAAGTAGAGTTTTCTTGGGAATCTAGTAAACATTTTTCTGGTGAAGAATCTCTTTCCAGGGCCACACCACTGCCATTGTAGTGGATTTGGTTCAAATTGTTATCAGCCATGCTACTGGCAAATGTCACAAATGAAGAAGAAAAATATATATACCTGAGTAAGCCTGAAAGAAAATATATTAATCAAGGCATTTATAAATAAGTTATTACAAGTAATCTATTCATAACTAAATATTTACTGAAAAATTAAGCTCAACTCAATCATTACCAAACACAATTACATCCTAAAAAATATACAAATGAATAGATCTTATTCTCATTATGAGCCTCCTTCAATTCACCTTAAGGGGAGTGTCTGGGTCCGAAATCGACAATTTTGGTTTTTTCCGGGTTTTAGTCTCATCTTAAAGCTGACATTCTGACCTATCCAACGGTACCAAAACCATCTCTGTACGTTGATTTATGCATTCACGGCAGATCGCGAAAGAGCAAAGGTTGGTGGAGTTCTTTAACATTTAACATAGGGAGTAAATGCTGAAGTGCGCCTTAAATAGCTAGTATTCACACTCTCCGCTCCAGTTACCCTTCAACAGTCGTGAGGGATGGTTCTTGCTCTGTCGTTCCCACCATCCTTGACAGAGATTTAGCTCCCGTATCATCTGGTCTTGCATCCTTGCAACCTTGAATGCCGATTTCGAGGCGCCCGCGACTTTGACGGGCTCCACTGAACAATCACACTTATTGTCACTGGAAAACTATCTCCTCCTACAGTTTTGAAGCTACAGCAATGAGAGAGAGGTATACCATTCGATTTGCAAATAAAAGATCTAGAGATTGGTTGTAGCTTTTTTTCAATTTCTTTATAGTTTTTAAAATATTTTGAAAAAGGAGGGGAAAAGAAAGGGGAAATTGAAAATTTTTCGAAAATTTCACAAAAAATGCCCCCACACCCAGAAAAATTCGAATTTCAAAAAAAGCTACGACTAATCGATAGATATGGACCTTACGCATCGAATGATATGCATCTCAATGTTGTAGCTCCCCCAGTATCCCCTTTTTGGCCGTTTTCTAAGGATTTCACGTTTCTTTCATTTTTTTCAAAATATTTACACGAACAAAAGAGTCTTAGAATTATTTTTAACATATGTGTACCAAGTTTAAAAGTGATCCCTCCGTAAATAAAAAAGTTTTTCTGGGACCCAGACGCTCCCCTTAATCAAGTCAATAATTAAATTCTTGCACACAGAGGAATTTTTCAACAATAATCTAGCCAGCTTAAAGATACAGTTGATGAATTGATAACAATAAATGACACCAAAATATGGGAATTTCTTTTAGTGATACTGTGGTAGTACTTCTACAGTTGCACTGTCAGCCAAATAGACTTTTATACAAAAAATTCTGAAAATTTTTCAGGGTTCATTGATTAAATCAAACTGATTAAATCATGTGATTAAATCATTTGATTTTTTTATAAAAAATCACGATTTTTATTTTTTCAATTTTTTTATATATTCAAATACCATAGGTATATTGAGTGGCAGACTTTCATTTATTTTGAGGTATTGTTATTCATGGTTTAGAATAAATGTACTATGAATGACAAATTGCTATATAAACAACTTGTTGCCTTTAGTGTGTATTAGGTTCCAATAAATTGAATGTTTTTGGTACAGAGGCATCAAGTGTGCAATACATTGTATGTAGCTATCAGCTTAGCTAATTCATATAAGGCTATAAGTAGTCTTTAACTATTTGACTATTTGTTATATATTGATTACAATATACAATTAAAATGTGTTAGCGCTAGCTTATACATGGTGAGGCAGAACCAATTGGGCAGTTTTGAGGTAAAATAAAATAGTAATGGAGGTACATAAAGAAGAAAGTTTATTTTCCTCAAGGTTTGCATAACATACTGTTACAGGGAGCATAATTAAGCTAGGTTTTAGCACATTCCTTACTGACTTCTCCCATTTAGCTGATTTTAACCTATCTATGATGTATTCATTATTAACATTGCCATGTTCTCTCTTATCTTGTTCCAGCATCAATTTATTTTCCATTGCCAGTGTCATTGCCTTGATGTGAAGCTGTGGTAATTTGTCTGATCAGTTGGGAAGTCAGAAGGCTATTATTGCTAGTTAGAAGGACTATTGCCTAGGTGAGTTAACCCATTAATGTCAAGAATTAGTTTCTGAATTTTTTTTTTTTGGGTTCTTTGTGAAAATATTATCATTTGTGATGGCAATAAATGAAAAAAATGTTCATATATTTATTTTTGTTGTATGTGAAAAATTATAGCTTGGTTCCATAACTATGGCACCACTTTGCATTAACATAGCATTTCTTCAAACAAGACTTTTTCTTATAGTAAATCAAGCAAAGTTCTCAATAATTGATATTACCTAATATACGTATTCATAATGGATAATACTGATAGATCCACCAATCATGTTAGGTTAAAATTTAATTTTTAGCATGGAATGCATCCATTCATTCAGATTGAATAGGAAGGTTGTTCAATTTACAAATATTTTTAAGCGTGTTGTCCACATTGTTTGCATATGCATTTGCTTCTGATGTCTCTTTGCTGGCCGATGTTGTTGATTGTTGTATTGCAATTCATCATGGATTGAAGTAGAAGGGTGCACTAGGTATAGACCCTGATTATTTTATTTAGGGTCTCCTGCATTATTGCTCTTCCTAACTGATCTTTTAGAAAAGTCATTGCAATAGCCATTCTTTTTTTTCAAAGTTTTTTTAGAGGCCAAATTAAACTAAAATATATCTTACATGTAATATGTTGGCCTGGGACCAATTGCATCATGTTTATGGGACCAATCCATGTTCCAGCCCATGATTAATTTTTTTTTTCATTAGATCCACCAATTAGCTTCAATTGCAGAAAAATATCTGATTTATCTGCTGCCCAAAGTTTATAATTAAATTTCATGGGCTAGCCACGTGTATGTCGTAGCACAAGGTGGCCATGTCGACCACAGTTGACTTTCTTCTCTATCAATAGTCATTGTTTTCACATTTGGTGATTACTGTTGCTACAATGACTATTCTTGATAGGTGAGCGGAATTACAAGTGACTGCATCATCCGAGTTATCTGAATCTCAGTCTGTTTCGTTTACTGCTGTTTCTGTGAGATGTTCAATAGCAAATATTTGATCTTCATGCTATTCTTCTCTCAAAATCTCATTATCCGAAGTGATGAACTGCCAAAAATACAATTAAAAAAAAGTGACTCGGGATGAAAAATTGTACGTATTGTGTTCATCGTACCCACCTCCTAATATTTAAATTTTTGGGTTATATACTCCTAACAACTCTTAAGATAATAGTTCACTAATAAATAACAGAAAAACTGTAGATCTAACATCTAAATAATTTCTAAATCCAAACAAATTTTTGGAATACAATGCGTAACTATATCATGAAGTACCGTCAAACGGGGTACAAAGGGACGGGCGTGGTAAATCGGAACGCGTGTCCCACATTTCATAGAAATGTTGTAGCAGCTAAACAAATCTAAATATTGCAAAACTAAAAATAGCGGCATAAACTTTGAGTGACTACATCCTAGATAATATAGATACATCCAAGATAATACATCCCAGCATAGCCACAGCTTATGGTGGCAGCAGGGATTGAACTATATACCGTAAAATAGGGTAACTTAGACCACTTTTTTTATAAATGATGCCATTTTTTTACTAGCTAAATTAAACTTGAATTGAAACATGCAAAATACAGGTCTATACTCTAGCTTCACTCACCATAAATTGCTGGCTCCTGTCTCTCATAGTCTTTATGCAATTTAAAAAAAGTGATGGTCTTTGTTACCCCAGCTCTTGGGGTAACTTAGACCGGGTGGTAAAATCAATTATATTTTTTGGTAAAATAACTCCAGGTTTTGGTGCATTGTAGTAGAACTCTTCTAGTTACATATGCAAATAACAAACTTGAGGAAAGTGTCATAGTTTGCAAATGGGGGGCGCCACCCCATAATGAGGGAAATGTGACTACCAAATGGCAGCCCTGATGGGGTAATATTGACTGGCTTGGAAATTAAGCTAAAATTACCATATATAAGACTCTGTAGAGTCTGAAACAAAGAAAAAACATAAATAGGCTGTCAAACATAAAATATGTTATATATGGTAATTTTATATTAACTTCCAAGCCAGTCTATGTTACCCCATTAGATATGCAAACTTTTCAAATCTTTCTATTGTGTTATGTAGCCTCAGTATTAGGCCTTTAATGCCCATTGACAACATTTTTCTATGTCAAATAGTTTTTGAGTTGTGGGGGTTTTTGTAAAAAAAACGAAAAGTGGTCTAAGTTACCCCGCCGGTCTAAGTTACCCCATTTTACGGTACAGTTATAAATACACTACAAGCATTGACACCTATTGGCGTTGGGAGAAGATATTACGTCACAGCATAGCTGCAGCTGCTGCCTGCTGGCAGCAGCAGGGTTCAAACTATATATGGTTATTAACACATTGACTCTGAAGTGGTACATATGCATACCACGAAATGTATTTCTCCAGGACGTAGTGGTACATAATTCAGGTTGCCTAAAATCGGCCAAATCCAAGAACAAAAAAGGCTGATAACTAAATATATACTAGTTTATTTGTAGGTTCCGCTATGAAAATTCCATTCATTTTCTTTTTGCAGTATTTAAAATTTAATTAGGAAGTACCCCTATCATAAATTTTAGCCAGCCAATGCAATTGAGAAAAACTAAATCACGGAATTTGTCCAGAAAAAATGACAGTCTGGCAACCCTGTTTAAAAACGGTACAAAAAAATGAAATAATAGTACAACATGAAGCAATTGTAGTCAATGTGTTAATACCCTACGTACATTGTCACAGCGCCGCGTGGCGGTATTGTTATTGCCGCACACCCATGTTTAATCTATAACTAGTAACTGCACATGGCAAATTTTTCTTGACATATTACCCAGCACCACCCAGAATGAAAAATGGAAGACATGAATTCCCGCGCACCAGGTGCATTTTCCTGCCTATGGCCCACCCCTAAACTTCATTCAGTCTTGAAGCAGCAGTTTTTGTTTGGGAAGGTGCTAGTGTGTTGTGCGGTGCGGCAGCAGTCAGTCCGTAAAGAAGCCTTGATTGGT